ACACACACACACACACACACACACACACACACACATAAACTTACTATACTACATCTTAAATTATTATTCTAGAAGACTTTGTCCATAACATATTTGTTTGCTATGCTATTTCAAACAAGAATCAGGAATTCTGAGAGATGAGATTAGTACCCTTTCTATGGGTACTAATAATCAGTAATCAGTGTAATCAGTGGGTGATAAAGTATTAACCCAGATTTCCTACCCTGGGGCTTGGGATTCTTCCCACTGTACTGTCCTGTGCACCATCCTGGGGATTTCACAGGTCCTGTCTAAAATATACATACAAACCTGTGACCTTTACACACGGCCAGCACTGTAGGCCATCCCTTTAGAAAGTTTACCTCAGTTGCTTCTGAGTGTCTCAGAGTCCATAAAAACTCCAACATTGCCATAAAAATGGCCACAATTAAGCCGCAAATAAGAACCACAAAGATTCCACCAATATTCTCCATTCCCAGACCTGTAAGAAAAAGTGATAATAAATGAAAATTACTGTGAAAGAACAGGAAGACACAATGATTCTACCAACCATGCCAATATCATTTAAACAGCTAGAACCTGAATCTTGCAGATGACTTGGAAACACATTCCTGAAAGAGATTTAATTAATTGCTTGAAAAAAATGCAGGGTAGCTGGAACAAAATGGGGGACAGAGCTCCACCTGCCAGTAAAGGAGACTAGAGAAGCTACAGAAAAGTGGCTGTGGCCAAGAGGTGAGGATCATTCTAAGAAAAGGGTAGGGTAAAGGCCAAATTTGATTTAGCTTCCAGCAATATGAAACCAAAATCCCTGTAAATTCTAGCAGGTTCATAAAGACTTGTCAATCTTCTTAATACTGTGCTTGTGTAACATAACGCAACTGATCTGGATGGGAAAAAATTATGTTTACCAGTGTCAACATGTTACAATTTGAGCAGCCCTAATCCAAAAATCTGAACCTTTCAGCACTGATGCGATGCTCAAGAAGTTTCTGATTTTGGAGCGTTTTGCATTTCCAATTTTTAGATTAGCAATGCTCACCCAGCAAGTATTACAAAATCTAAACAACTCTGAAATTTGAAATATGTCCCAAGCATTTTGAATAAGAACACTCAACAAATTACTATAATACTTACTTGGAAAGTGAAGCTTTTTATTCACCAGACTATTGGTTCTCACACCTGGCTGCCATCAGAACTTCCTGGAAATCTTGTTAAAACCAGATTCCCAGGATCTTAACCCAGACCTAGTGGGTCAGTATCTCTGGAGAGGGAGCTCAGGAATCTGTATTTTCAAACAAGTTTCCCAGGCAATTTTTTGTTTAGTCCCGTAGGCCTACAAATTGGTATTTTTGGAAGCACTGTACAAGTTTTTAATCTCCTTAAAGTCTGGCTGTATCCTCACTGCCTCATACAATACCCGAAGTTGAGAATATACTCAATGCGTATTTGTAGGATGACATGGCTATATCATTTGCACAGTATCCAACAGTGAGTTCAGCTACGTAACTAAATGTTTTCTTTGGCATTAGAGAAGCCCAGACTTTAGGGGGAGTGTCATAAACACATGAAACCTGCATTTATCAGGGGCCACAGTCATAAATGACGAGGCATCTTTTATCCAGGAAAATGCCAAGAAGGACACTTATGTCTTGTGCTCTTGAGGAATGCTTGCACACTGGAATGTTCATTCAGTCATCATGAACACGGTGCTATGTTGTTGTCAGGGAGAGCACGTTTCACACAACACTACAAAATGAGCTACAAGTAAGGAACAGAGATTAAATGCTGCCTTGTGCACCCTGGCAAGCTGGAAAAATAACCCTGGATGGCTATTTCAAGATGCATTGAGCTTCCTCTCAGAAAGCCCCAAGTGGGTGTCTGTTGTCTTTGTTTTTAAAAGAACAGAGTACAGTAGCAGTCCCTGCCTACTGAGAATCTGCTTGTGATGGCTCTAAGGACTCATAAAATGGGCACGTCAAATGAACTATTGATTACGATCAACTCTTGTGTTCCTGTGTGAATGCAGGAACCTCTACCTTGATAATCAAAATAGGGGATTATTAAAGATAGGGAGTTGTTCAGGAGTAAGATGCTTTGGGTCATTTGAACATCTGCTCCTCTTACCTGCGGCCATTTTGGAAAATGTCTTTTGACTGCAGGAGCATCAGTATTCACATGAATGGGGGACAAAAAGGGACACCAAAGAGGGAATGCACATTTAAATGAGTCTGGCTGGGGTTTATGGGCAGGTGCTCCAGTCCACACCTTGGGGGACAGTGACAATTGGGATATTAGGATGTGTTCAGTGCATCGTGGACAAACTAGTTTCTCTAGCCAGGCCCTGTGAAGAGGAAATGACAACAGTGATACTAAGGATGGTCACCTGCTCCAGTAAAGAGAGTTCCTAGATGACTTGGGATACTCTGGGACTTCCCTATCATTTTAGGAGGGGAATAGGAAAATGAGTAGGCCTCCTTGAAGGGTCTCCCCTTCTTGCTTCTGAAAAGGGATGTTCTTTCTCCTGGAACTCATCCTGCCACCTGCATGCCAGCTGTGTCCCCTGTCAGTTACTACCTGGGTCTTCCAGTCTCTTCCTCCCTATTGGTTTTTTGTCACTCCTCCTTCTCTCACAAGAAACATTCTTCTGGCCCCTCTAATTCTGTCTAATGGACACCCCTTCTCTCTCTTGTGTGCCATGGTCAAGTTTTCTGAAAGCATTGTTTACATCAAAGCTAGTTTAAGACATTCTAAAAGCCCTTAAAATGTTTACCTTTGGAGGCCCCTTCCCACATAAAAGCAGGTAGGAGAAAAAGCACACCTTAAGTTAAATGCATTTCACCACTTTTGCTTCTGATACTACAGAACGGCATGAAACAGTTAATTTACAATTGGCTGTAATTTCTCAGCAACCACTGTGCATACCAGGGAATGTTTGCAAAACGAGAAAATCTAACCCAAAATTATTTCTAAATGTGATGAAGTTTTTACCAATATTAAATTTAAAAATTAATGAAGTTGAAGCAATATTCCATCTTGGAGATATTTAATTAAGCATGTCTTAATTTAATTTTGCAGTTTTCTTTTTGCATCTGGGAGCCAATCAGTTTTTTCAGGCCTCAAGCATAATTTGGACACCTGAAAAGCTTTTAGGCCCTGGGTGCTCTGTCTACAATATCTAAAGGAGAAAATGATTCCGTGCTGAATCTACTTTTTTTCCTCCTATTCAATCCTCATTCCAGGCAATTTTGTCTTGCACCACTAAAACTGCTCTCACCATTTTGTTTCTAATCTACCAGCAAATTTCCAGGCCTGATTTTACACAGTCTCTCTTAGAACTTCATATTGTCAATCACATTCCTTTCTGGGCTTTTCATAAAGCCACTGCCTGCTCTGCTCTGCTCTCCCAATCTCACCAGCCTTTGCTTGCTCTGGGAATATTTTCTCATTTTTCTACACTTGGTCTTTTGCCCCTCCTCCACGTACTGGTTTTTGGTGATTTTACCTGTTAAACACTTTCCAACTTCTTACCCTTCTCTCCATCTCTCCTACTATCTGTCTCTTGCTTCAACCATTGCAGCAGCTTCTGAAATGATTTCCCTGCTCAGAGCTGTTTCCTCTTTAACTCTGCCCTCCACATAGATGCCTGAGTGCTCTTGTTGAAATGTAAAATCTGGCTGTGATGTGCCTTCTAGTATAACAGAACTGTTTACAGTTCCCAGAACATATGATTGTTACTCCCGCCTCTGTACTTTTACTCCTGTTAGCACATATGCCTGGAATCCACCCCATCCAAGACACAGACCTGTCTAACCTCAGTGTTTCCTTAAAAGCTCAGATCCGGGGCCGCTTCCTCCAAGGAACCCCTCTGACCTGACATGACCCTGTTAGCTTTATTGCTCTTGTTTCACAACAACACATTGTACATCACTCCAGTCATATAAAAAATACATTAAGTTTATATATCAGGATTTCCTTGAGGGAAGAATCATGTCTTGCTCAATCTTACAACCCACAATCATGGCACCTGGCCCACAAAAGGAACTTAATCAATGTGTTGAAAGAATGAGCAGAAAGGAAGCAGAAAAGACATTCCAGATGTAGAGGGCTGCATCACCAAGAGTTCTGGATCCATACTGTGGTATCTGTCCATTTCCTAATTAAATGTTGTTTGGCACAGTAGCTATTATCATTTTGGCAACTGCCTGGGGAATTCAGGCAGATGACCCAAACTGCACTGGCTAGAGGGGACCTGAATACTGACATGGGTAACACACAACATGGACCTCTTGTGTTGGGTGGAGAAAGTCATAAATGGGCATGTGATCTGTGCTGGGATAACTGAATATTTCAGAGTAAGCTTCTTGAAAGAGCTAAGGTTGAACAAGATGCTGGTGGACACCATGCATCACCACGCTGGTCCTCCAGTCTTTCTTTCCCAGCTCCTTAAATTTCAGGGCCAGCACGTCAATCCTGGATGTTGCTTCAGTGTGTCAAGTTCTGGCCAAGTAGCCACCCCCTGTCCTCCTCCTTCTCCTCTTTCTTCTCCTTCATCTCCTCCTCCTCCTCCTCCTCCTCTTCCTATTCCTTCTTGGAGTGAGGCTTGCATACCATTCGTGCTTTTAGGAAATTATTGGAAAGTGGAAGCAAGAATAGATTGCTGGCAGTCAGAGTTGAGAAACAGATGGAGCAGGGAGTGGAAAGGGAGTGTTCAGAGAGTGCAGCAGTTCCGCTTAACACTGTCATCAGTCATCCTTGAGAAGTCAGATGCCTTGCAGAGCACACAGCCATTCATCAGAAGGGGCCTTTCGTGTGGACTCCCTCCAGCCTGAGAGGCCCTTGCCTCCCTCACAGATGCCTCCGCACCTGCAAGAAGGACCAGGAAGCCATCTAGTCACCCCCTCCCTTCTCTTCTTCAGATGGGGCCACACATGAGCCATCCAGACAGATGGCTTTGAAACTGGGATTTGCTCCTGACACTCCAGTCTGCCTGAGCCTCAGCTATGCCCAAGCAATCAGCCTGCATTAGCTGAAATAGAATCAAATTCTCCTAGAAAACTCCTGGTTGGTTGAATACTAACTTGGGTGTCACTCACAGATTGCCCACAAATGCAAATGATAATTCATGCATCACTTTCTCTGTCTCTAGAACTGCACAGGGGAATACCAATCAGGAACAGACTACTTTTGAAGAGATGTGACTCTCCACCCACCCACCTGCTCTTCCTTTGCTTCTGACTGGCTAGTGATAACTCCTTGGATTTGGGTGCACTTACACTTTGCCCTTAAGGGCCTCACACAACTCCAGGGAGCACTGCGGTTGACCACAGCAGAGGGGAACAAAGGTGTGGTAGGGGCCTGTACCCTACATGCAGAGGCAGAGACTGCAGAAACCATGGAGGCAGATGCACAGAATCCATATGTGCAGAGAGAGCAGACCACTGCCACAATCCACACAAGGTGATAGTGTTCTTTGATATC